TATGTTCTATTTTCTACAACTAATTCAAGATATAAATTCCATTGCGAAGTGAGAGGTGTTTCATTTGCGAGTGGCCAAGTGTTTCTCCCGCGAGTGGCCAAGTGTTTCTCCCGCGAGTTGCAAAGTGTTTCTCCCGGGAGTTGCTAAATGTTTCTCCCGCGAGTTGCTAAATGTTTCTCCCCCGAGTTGCTAAATGTTTCTGCCGGAGTCTCTGCGGTTTCCCTCGAAGAAGACTCCTATTTTCCTAAAAACACCCTGATTGGTGACTTTTCCTTTTCTAAATCACCAATCAGTTTACTCCGGTGCATCGCAACCTCCCTCCATTTCGCCCTTAGCGCGTTATCTTAGGGAGAAAGTGTTCGGTGGACGGATGCGTGGGAAACCTGTGGAATCTCCGCTTTTCTAGGCTTTGTTAAAGTCAAGTAGCCCATCGACGTTGGGCCACTTTTCTATTTTCCGTTCGGAGACTCCAGGATTTATGGCAGGGTCTGGTCCTAGGAACTAAGTGTCGCAGGCAACGCAATAAACACTTGTGGTGTTTTGAGAAAGCGATATTTGCCTGCGACGGCGACCACTTGACTCGCTGCCATAAATCCGGCTACAGGACACGCCTTAACACTAAGAATGAAAATATTTGAGGGTGTAACAGTACGAATCTGAGATTTGAAAGAGATTATTCCTTTTGTTAAGAATCGACAATGTTTTGTTTATCTAGATTTCTCAATGGTCGAATTATCCTTATTTTGCGAGAGCGTGTTTTGTATTCACTACTATTTTTCACAAAAGTGACGTGTAAACATTGTAAATAATTCGTACGGCTGTTGGGGATGCTGCTATGAATCGTTTAAATGTTTACGAATGGTCTAACAAATTTTAAAGTGGACGAACGTGAAGCTTTCAACCGCGACTACTCACAGCAAAAAAGAAGAAATTATTGCCCTTCCACGAAGATATCGACGAATCACAAGAGAGCTTACAGAGGATGTGGGAATTTCATTTGGTTCGTGTCGAGCAATTTTGGACCAACTTGGATACGAAAGAGTAGCGTCAGAAGTTCGTTCCACGCATCTTAACAGTAGAACAGAAAGATAAGAGAAAAAAATCGCTTGAGATCTCCAAAAAAAACTTTTTCGATTACTGCGTGATTGTGCACCGCGAATTTTTACTCCATGATACTACTGTAAATGCAATATTTTATCGAGATGTGCTCCAACGTAAAAGGAAAAGGCTATATTTGTGGCAGAAAAAAGCACGGATGTTACACCACAAGAGTTTTTAATACGAAATTCACTTTCTGTTGTCTCACAATCACTGTATTCACCCGATCTCTTAGCAGCTGACTTTTTTCTCTTCACTTGTCCTTGTGTGTTTGCTTACCACGTCGTTTCCGAAAGCTGCCAGAACAGATTTCAAATGTGTGTAAAGACAGATGGAGATTACTTAGAAGGTGATATTGTGTAATTAGTATTAAGATTAATAATAAATGATTTATACATAAAGCCCCCTAACTTTTAGATCAAAACTTGTATTTTAAATTTCATTAATTCCAATGACCACACGTATTAAATAAAATTCGTTCCGAAAATAGTTAACGTGCTTTCTGGCATTAGAGTTAAAAGAATCAAGATATATTTCAGTATTATCTGTAGCTTTCTTTTATTGCAGCCTCAACACAAAGGAAGGTATATTCTCGAATATGTATGCAAGCAACTCAATATCTTGGAAACGGATTACTTTGGGCTTCGTTATGCGGATCACTGTAGGCAAAGGGTAAGTTTAATTGTGCGTGTATTTTTGACATACATTCATGTTCTTTATTTCCGGCGCAAATCCTTCTGCTTATTTAGTTACTTAAAACAAATGTTGAACGATTACAGACTTTCTCATATTAACCTTTTGTTTTATCAAATCATAAACTGAATTATTTTCTTTGGAGTAGTAAGTTACTTCTTTTATGTAAATGGCATGCAACTTCAAGTTAATTATTCGTGTTGATACGTATGTATTGTAATGTAAGAACAGAATTTTCTTTCTACGATGACAGTTTCTGTTTTCCTATGTAAAGAAACTTGCGCAGAGACGAATTGTTTCAACATCCTGGAGACTAAATGCATTTCTGCATTTATTTATTTCTGCTGTGATTTATCGTAGAAATCAACATTGAAACAAAAATCCTCAGTATCAGAAATTTCAAAAAACTCAGACTATTATAATATACAATGTTTTGGGCTATCTTTGGTACTAAATTGGAAAGGTGATCCTTGAAATCATTCTAAGATGAAAATCAAACGTGACAAAATTGTTTTCGGGGCTCTGTTTATTAGTTGGTAATAATTAAAATCTGCACCTGAAGTAGGCTCTTTTTGGCGCTGGCTTAGACCAGGAAACCAGGTGATGACTAGGTTAGTACCATATCTAGCTTACCTGGTAATAACAACTGTCACAAGGGCTAACACAATTTTGCGAACATTTTACAATGAAAATTTAAATTAAATCAAGAAACGACACCTGCCTACTCGCAAAAATCTCAGGGGGCATGTCGAAACTTGCCTAATGAAATTTTCGAGTGGAAAGGATGAATCCTTTTTCAATTAAAAATTCTTCTTGCAGATATCCCACATGCGCGCACATATTACCATTGTTCTGTTCTCATGTGACCAGCAAAAACTGCGACACACGTATTATTATTATCCCGGCCAAGATTAGCCATTTTTATTAAAGATATTCAACGTAACCACCTTATTCTGAAATGCAAAAGTGTACTTCTTCTGAAATTTTGCCGTATTCTTTCAAAAACCTCATTACATTTTGAATTGCACCTGCCTTGAATGTGATTCGTTGGTGCAATTCCTCCACAATAGTCTGTTTACTTATGAATGGATCTTTTTCAATGCGGCGCAGAATATTTTCTTCTAAGTTCGTGTCGCGTTAACTGTGTCCACCGAACTTCTCACTTTCTAATGACCCTGGGTTTTGCAGTTCTTCGATCCAGCCTTCTGAATATTATCTTCGGTATAATTCTATCGGGATATTTTAGTTGGTAAATGCGGTAAATGCTGGTAAATTCACTTCACCGAAAAGAGGTGCATATTCGTAATTTTCAAAAAACTGTATTTATTTTGCCTTTCGGTCATTCTTCCTTACGGACCCGCCCTCCACGGTAGGAGAACTAACCTAAAATGGTAAAAAGCGGACCCAAGAATAAACTTCCTTGCAGCCAGACAGAATGAGGGGATCTCCTGTACCAAGTTGTTAGTAATTCAATAAAAGGTGAGGCTACTATTAGTCCGGGGCCGTTTCCCCTTGGTAATGACAAGCTAGGTGTAGGTGTGCTGTCGTAGGAAGTGTAAGCCTGAAGGTTAAATTTCTCCTGAAATCGCACTATGAACTCATATGATCGGCCCTCGCCAAACGTCGCGCGGCCCGCGGGGAAAGTGAGGAAAGAAACAGAAGACGTCGCGACGTCCACGAATTAATCTGCTTCGACGGAAGTGAGTCAGTGTGTTGATCCTGACCTTTCCAGGCAATCCGAAACAGCTGATGTTACGGCCGGATCGGTCATCACATATGATCGGCCCTCGCCAAACGATAGAAACAATAGACATCGACATCGACAATAATAGACGCCTAACGCCGCGACGTATTCTGTTTTTTTCCCTCACTTTCCCCGCGGGCCGCGCGACGTTTGCCGAGAGCCGATCATATGAGTTCATAGTGCGATTTTCACAATTTTTAACCATTTGTAGCTCATAGCAACATTAACCGATTTCGATGAAATTTTCAGCGTGTGTATAATTGACATAGATCTGCAAAGCGTATTTTTTAAATTTTCATTACGAGCTCAGATAAAAAAGTTGTAAAAACGACCTTCGCTATTTTCTTCGCGATTCTGACTAATTGCATTTTTTTCAAAAATTTGTTACACGTCATCTAGGAAACGAATCTTTCTAACTTCTTAAAAAAACTCAAGTCGTTTGGCCCAATTTTAAAAAAGTTATTCCATTTTTTAGAGTGTATGAATACTTTTGTCCTCCACTGTATGTATTGTTATGCAAACAACGGAATGACAGCAAAAAACCATTTCTCTAAGCCTTATAAAAATAGCGGTGCGAAGTCAAATTTTTTTGACAGCGTTGGATAACTGAGAAGTCTCGCGTACGCATTTGGCCAGTGTTTTTCATTAATAATTCAAAAACGAAGCTTCAAACAACATTTTGGTAAAGGAAAAAGTTGTTCAGAGTCACCCCAATAACCCCCCATTTCCGGGTGTTACACTTGAGGTGGGTGAGGAACGTCGTTACACTGTTTTCACCTCAATTTATTAAAGTGTATGGTCGTATAGGCGTACAATTTGTCCAGAAAATACAATCGTTTACTTTGTTAATTGTCCCGGCGGCAGCGGTTCGGCGGGTACGTCGCGATGGTCGGTAAAACAACAAACTGTCTCGAGGTGTAGGCGTCCTGGGTTTTTATATTGTTAGGACAGGGAGACAGGAGTAGCGATAGATAAAGATAGAAGTAGAGAAAGTGGTGGAAACGGAAAATTCGTAGAAAGCGGGCCTCGTGCGAACCTGGATGCCACATGTGCGTTTCTTAGGCTACTCGAGGACGAAGGCAAGTCTTAACCCGGGGAGAGACAAAAGAACGGAAACTAAAATCTGAAGGAGTTGGAAAAGAGAAAGTTCGCGTGGAAGAATAGAACGAGGTTCGGTAAGGATTTGTTGATGACGACGTACCCACCACACACTCTTTACGGGACACCCTGTGTAGGGGAAGTGCAGGTAGCCCTGGACAGTTGAATATTTCGATTATCCAACTGCATACAAAAACAAAAACAAACCTAACGTCAAATACATTTTTCAATTAGTTGTCGATCGATTGGGCAAGCGATACTGATATTACACTTAATTTTGTTACAATTAAAAACGGTATTCCTGTTCCAATCAAATTTTATCAAACCTTATTCTGAATTAAATGTAAGTATTCTTTTATGTTTTGACAATTAAATTTAGTTTAAGATCCTTGAGTTTTTTAATTTTTGTTTGCTATTGTAAAAATGGTTAATAAAAATATTGGATCAAGTCCATCCGGTAGCCCCGGACACTTATATGGTGGGTACCCCCGGTCACTTTTATCTGTTGCAAATTTGAAAATCGTACATTTTCCTATTATGATAGTTTGTCCGCTTATATCTTTCCAAGATTCTGTATAATATAAATAGGTTTATTTTAAAAACGGGTAAAAAATGCCGAAATTTAAAGACGAATAAGCAATAAAGGTAAATGAGATGAAAGTAACATGAAAGACGCAACTGTTTATGTTATGAACGGTGAATTATCAATAAGATTGGCTACTGAAAAATATAACGTGTCACGGAGTTCTCTACAAGCTAAAAAGCGGTCAAGAAATAATTCTTAAGCCGAAATTAGGTCGCTTTGACTGAACTTTTAATGAGGAATTTTCATGGCGACTTTATAATCACGTGAAACAATTGGACAATCGCCTAATGCCATTGACTAGAACAGAGTTTTTAAAACTAGCTTTTGATTTGGCAGAATGTCTTAATATTCCTCATAGATCCAACAAAGAAAAAAGAATAGCATCAAGACACTAGTTTGTGAAGTAATTTTCAAGGAAGACTCACAATAATAAATATATAATACTTAATAACATAATAATGAATGATATAGTATTATTTGCAACATTTATAAGAATATTTAACAGCAACGTGAACAAAATAAATAAAAAAATTACTGTCCGGGGCTACCCGCCATTTTTTGAATCGTTAAAACTAACGGCCACAATTCACTGATTTTTTTCTTAAAGTTACATGTATAAGAGATATATTCAAATTTTAGAATTACAGTAAAGGAATAAGGTCTAAAGTTCATTTTTTGAAAGCTTAGTTTGATTAAAACCTTTTGTTCGTATATTCGTTAGTATATAAAGATACAATTCGCCTAATAAAAAAGTTCAGAGATTATATGGGGGGGATACGACGAATACATATTGTAAATGTATCTATATTTATTGTGTAGTAATATCAAAAGAAATGAATATGTCTAAATATGAAAAACATTAAATTACTATAATTCAGTCCGAAAAACACCTCACAGCTAAAATCGTACAGGGACATAAACTTCTTTTATTTTTTGTGTAAATTAAAAATTAATACTTTGTTGGATACCGCCCGCAACCTTTGAAAGGAAATGACGTCCTTGACAACATATTTAACGATTTACAAAACAACTAGAATGAAATAGGTAAAGTTGGGAAAAGGTACTAAACTGCGCAATTATCATATATTTTCACTGATATTTCGAAAACTACAGGAGTCCGGCAGTAACATATAGAGAAAAGTTGTTTAAAATGTTGTTAAAATTAACAACATATTTCAAGGTCATTGAAATCGGTGCTGAATTATTCCCAATAATCACGTAATGCTCACATTTTACGTCCCAAAAATATTGCGACACATAGCACATGTACTTTGCGGTTTATTCGCTGCAGTAAATCAGTTATACAGGATGGTCCAGTAAGAATTAGCACTTGAATATTTCCATTGTTTTTGGAGATATGAACAAATTTTATTAGCAAAAGTTGTTCAGTATAGAGGAGGCTATAATAAGGCAGTAAGAATTTTTCTGCAGCGGCGGACTTTCAG